AAAGAAATGAAATACAATTAAAAAAGGCAAAGGTAGAGACATTTACTTCACATTAATGCTTTGGTGTCATATTCTAAAATGTGCTGTAATGGAAACAACATATACTTATGAAAACAGATAAGGGAACACATGAGAGTACAATTGTTCCTTTATTCTTTTCCAAAATTCCGTCACAAAGGTATGTATTGTGTATTTGCACTGTATGGGTGAAATTCTGGAATGCTTTGACGAATTGGGGAGACAATGTTGTGGAATGAGGAGTATATACTTGTTTCTGTATGTGTGTGTGCTTGTGTATGTGTTTGTGTGTGTGTGTGTGTGTGTGTGTGTGTGTATGTGTGTGTGTGTGTGGGTGGGTGTGTTTGCATTCACCTTTGCAAGTTTCTCAAAACATCATAGTGGATGGAAAGGTAAGGCAGGATATCATTTCGTGAACACACTGGTGACATCATCAGATTTTCAGTGATCCATTCCCACGATTGTCACAGCAATGAACACACCTTCTTTTATAATCTGTTGCACTTGACGTTACATGTTCCCATTGTTTCAATGGTTCCTAGTCAGTTGTTCCAAAACATATGTTTCTACTGAAATGAAGTTAATGGCTGTGTGCTTGAAGTGGCGATCATAACTCGCCATATAGATGTGGTTCAGCTAGATTGGATGACTTCTAAATATGGAGGAGCCACAATGTACCATAAATTATACACACTGTGTATGCAATGCGTAATTCAAATTGTTAAGAGGATGAATATCACCTGTATTTGGATTTACTAAGTTGAATTACTTGCAAAAATACACCTTCACATTTTATCATCAAATCGAAATGAGTAATGTTTCTTGGATGAAATCAGTAAAATATTCTTCGTAACTTACCAATGTATAGGTATTATGCAACGTCAATGTGAAAGTACTGTTTACAGCCTCTGCTTACATTGTAATATACATACCATTTCCTATGACCTTTCTGTATGAAACATATACACATTCAATTTGAATCGATTACAATCACACTTCTGTCTTCAATTAAAACGTCAAAACCTAAATCAAAATGCAACAGATATAACATGATACATAATGTCATTATTAAAAAGAAACTATTCTGTAGCTCAGGTCCGTTTCCAGTTCATGCAGAGATCTTGGAATTAGTGGCATGAGTAAAACGTATATTGTGGTTGGTGATCATTTATCCTTATTTATACAATGCACAACACAAATATCATTGACAGACTCACTAAATTGAACAACATTATTTTTTGTAAATATAGAACGTCGTTGCGAAAGAATACTCTAATCTCGACTCTCCGCAGAACCAAAATACCATTGGGAGTAAAGAAAAAACAATATGTAAGAAACTTATATGAATGGCTCACTGAAAGTCAATGATAAAACCGTTGTGTTCTCGAAAAGGGTTAGCATGTCCTGTTCTGCCCGTAGCAACAGCCATTTATTTTCCATTTTATATCATATTCAACATTTCTCTGTTATTTAACTTTCACTGTGTGATATCAATATCCCTTGTTCACCCACAGCATGAAGGTGGCCGTCGTTCTCCTGTGTCTGCTTCCCTTTGCCTTCGGGGCACTCTCTTGGAAATGGTGAGTCTCTTAAATACTAAACAGGGTCTGAATAGGAACAGATATTATCAGGAACTATTGAAAGAGGAGTACAGTATAGGAACCGGTACATGATAGATCTGTACTTCACATCATAAACGACAATGGATTTTAACATTATGCCATGGCCAGTGCAGACCAATATTCTTCGATATTCACTCATCTCTCCAGAACGTTTTCGGCACGGGTGCCGTTGCTAACTTATCAACCACCGGTTTTGCCAACACAGTTTCTACTAATCGCGATCCTTATTCTATCAGGTATATAATAACAAACATTTAAGAAGAGTTTCTCTCTCAGTCCTTGACTCCGCTGAGCTCCACAAACTGGTGAACTCTGTTGTCGAGAAGTTCGGAACAGACGCTACCGAACAGCAGTGTGAGAATGAATGCAAAGTTCTATTTACCAACGACATCCTCGACCTCGGCTGCGACTTCGCCTGCAAGGGGTATGTCTAAATACACGCTTGTCAACAAGATAAAGCGAACACTCCAGATTGTATATCAATTATGATTGAGTCCATGATACTGAAGGACTGTTATAAGAGTGTACCCCCACACACACACACACACATACACACGCATCCTCCTTCTCCACTCCCCTTTTTTGGATCCGACCCTGACCTCAAGTTATATACCAAAGGTTTTTGTTATAATACAAGCAGTGTGTTTAGTAATGGTGATCGTTAACCATATATCATTGCGATGATTACGTTAGGAGACCAGACCAGATGTAATGTATTTGTCCCTGGTTTTATTTGGTTAAATGTTCAGATATATAACTTGTTAAGCACGCTGATGTACATACAGATTTTAATTTTTATTCCATCCGAGACACAAAAAATATCGCACAGGTCGTTTCTGTATCATGTGCATTTGCATGTTTTATATATTGTGACAAGAGTACTAAATCGTGTTCCAATGATTTGTCCTTACACCTAAAACTGTTGATTGTTCACAGAATCCAGAATCTGATCCAGAAGCTCCATACATAAAGGAGGGTCCCGCTGCTGCTTTAATGTAGACTCGCGAAATAAAATGTTAAAAGTGCTTTATTGTTATTCTAAATTCGACATACTCTGCTTGCTAAGGTGTGTACCCGTAACTTGATGTTGTTAAAGCACATCTGATGAAGGATGAGACTCTAAGATCGGAAGAGGAATGCTGCAATGCTTCACTGTACATGTTTCTACCGTTTTCCTGTGAATGATATTCCAAAGCTTGGGTCAAGTGAGTGAATATGGTTTAATGACGACTTCCACACATTATATCCATGTTACGGGTGGAACCAAGTGGTTTCCCTCCACAACGTCTTCCCTACATCCATGTTGTGTTGGAGATCGTACGTGGGAGGTGATCCTACCGTTATTGTAATATGGGCCAAATCGGAGGACTTTGGTTTCACACCTAGAAAACAAGCACCCGAAAGTTTCTTTCACTTCATTCATCGTTATTGTAACAAGGAAGACCTCTCATATCTATTACTACAACGAGCCAAAACTAGCAATGATTTAGAACACGGAACGTTATGAACGAGTATAAGTCAGATCACGGGTATATACTTAGCACATTTATAATACTGTTAGGGGTTGAACCCCAATCTTGATTCGAACTCATACTCTCTTAGAGGGGCACATAATCGCCAGCACGCAAAGGCTCGATCTCACCTACACATTCTACGTGGTTAAACACAGAAGTTTGGCTACCAGGGTCACATACTGTACCTTTCTGACAACTATGAATACACAATACCTTTCAATATGTGGTAAAATGAAAGTAAATTTGTGTTCAGATTGAGGGTGAGAATCTGCACTTTACTGAGAACGTGTTATCCCAAATAGAATTATGTTACAATTAGAGGAGTGTTATAAAACGCTGTCGATTAGGTGCCTCACCACAAGTATGAAGGTTCGAATGCCAGGTGGGAATTGACCCAACCGAGTAGGCGTAATCCCAAATATAACATATGGAACATATGCTGAGTTCCATTCCAACGGCAGAAAATAATATTACTCGATAATCACAAAAAGTCAAGCATCTGGGTACACCTTATGTTACCATTATCTGATATCGATGAAATATTGCTAAAAGCAGGATAAACCCATTCTCCCTGATATGATCAAATCTTATTTATAATGTATCGGAAGAGGAAATACATATATCAGTGACATGTCTTTCTAGCCCATTTCCTTTCGCCTTCGTTCAGACTTTGTGATTTAACATAATCAATTTACTGGTGAAAAAGCTTTGTAAAACCATAATCACTCACTTAATCTTAAGGAACAATACGTAAGGCAAATCTAAACAGGTTATTGTTTCAGGGCAGTACAAGGCAGTACAAAAAGCTTTGGGTTAGTAATGTTATCAGGGGCGGTTAGATAGCCTAGTGCTTAGATCATCCACTCGTCGTGGCGAAGGTCTGGGTTCGATCCCACATGGACATAATGTGTGAAGTCCATTCCAGGTGCTCATTGGTGGAATATTGAGCAAAAACTTACTCCAATATTATCAACTGGGATGTGTGACCCATTAACACCTCGTTGACACCACAGGAGGACCTAGAAATTCCATATACATCCATCTTGACGTCAAAGGACAATTCCTATTTTCACAGACGAACATAGATGTCTGTGATCCATTCACGAAGCTGTCTCAGCTTTTAAGTGCAGCAACACACATTTAGCTAAGTTGATTCTTGAAGCTGTGTTTTTTTAGGTTTAAGAAAAATATTACTAAAGGGGTGTACATATCGGGGGGACAGGCAAAAACGGCAGTCTGATGTAAAATGATTCGACAGCATCATTTCTGACTACAAAACCGAGGGATTTGCACCTGAAGTATTCAAATCAGAGGACAATGACTCTGGAAAACATCATAGCTGTTCACCTATAATGGCATACCCAATACGGGATCGGTAACATATAAGAGTTCAGTAATCTTTCTTGAGAAAATGTTACGTGAAAAACACCTTGATAGAACAACGAGTTGGTGTGCCATTGTATGTTATCGAAATGACCGTGACCTGTTTTGTCCAACTCAGTCTACTTAAGTAAATACCAGTGGTGATCAAGGTCAAAACTAATTTTTATCAGAAGCGCACGTGTAGGGGAGCCAGTCACGCCGACTTGGTTGATGCATGTCACCGTATTCCGATTGCTTAAATCGATGTTCATATAGTCAATATCTGCACTGCTTCGCCCAGACCCTATTACTGACAGACCCAACTTATACAGCTGGAATATTTCTGTGGTGTGTGAGTGAGTGAGTTGAGTTTTACGCTTCACTCAGCAATATTCCAGCTATATGGTGCCGGTCTGTAAATAATCGAGTCTGGACCAGGTAATCCAGTAATCAACAGCATGAACATCGATCTGCGCAATGGGGAACCGATGACATGTGTCAACCAAGTAAGCGAGCCTGACCACCCGATCCCATTAGTCGCCTCTTATGACAAGCGTGGGTTACTGAAGGCCAATATTCGAACCCGGATCTTCACGGGTCTTCAGAGAGTGGCGTTTAAGGACACACAAACGCATACAGAGAGTTAGAGTGATTTCCCTTTTCAATAAGTATCACGTGTAGAATGCATAGTCTCTAATTGAGCTAATATCATGTCTATTGTGTCTAAGTTAGTTGGTTCAACACTACTGGGGAAAAGAACGTTTCACCTCATTCATCAGCTCCATAAAGAGAAACAAAGACATGTTGTATTTATATAATGACCATTTGGTATGAAAGGAATCCATTTCCAACGACTTTTCAATATTCACTGGCTCTAATAGGCTGATGTTTTCTCTTAACGTTCAAGCTTATTGATTCAGATAAACCCTCCATGATATGTGATACGTGTGATAAGCCGGTACTGTAGACATCGATTCAAATTTAATCTTCAGTGTACATAATAAGGGCTTAGGATATATGTGGTGAGTCTGCAATCTAGTAAACTCAGGGAATGTTCCACACACTATGTACTTGTTACCTGTATATGTGTGTGTGTGTGTGTGTGTGTGTGTGTGTGTGTGTGTGTGTCTGTGACTGTGTCTGTGTCTGCACTTTTTACATCAACCAAAAGAATGTTTATTTATTGTGCTTAAAACAGCCTTTCTGATTTTGACATTTGGCAATGCAAACAGAACCCGTCTATTTCTTGATGTAACACAGATATACAAGCTGCCAAACCCCCTCACCCCAACACACACAAAGAGTGAATTTCCCTGATTCAATTATTGATTAATCTCTGGGAACACCCCCAGATATTATTTTCATAATATATATTTAAGTTGTTGCCTGTGACTACCAACAATAACATACAACGACCTATGTTTTATAATGAACTGACGGATGTGACGAACGTTATTTTGGTTCCTACTACCTGCTATATACATTATACGCTCCAAATAAAGAAAGGCATAGGTGTATTTTTACGAATTTAATCTGCTAACTTCAAAGTGAGATAACACGTGTATTTCTGGATCAGTTGCGTTTCACATTTCACAGTATGAAAGATTAAATGAATGTTAACATGTTTACCTTATAAAAACGTTCAATAAGTTGGGCGTTGTCTTCAGAATCTGTTGTAGCCACCATGAACCCTGAAACTGCTCTTCTCCGTCTCGGCATGGACTAAATGAATCTTTGAATTCAACCTTGTTGAATTCTTGTCCATTCCTCTTTCAAAACCTGTGACAGTTGATCCTAACCTATGGGGCGTCAGTTGACGTTCATCCCACAAATGCTCGATGGGGTTGAGGTTAGGCGATTTGGAAGGCCATGACAGCACTGTAATGTTCTCATTCTGAAGATACTGAATAGTGCCATGTGTGTGAGGTCTGGCATTGTCTTGAACAAATCCCTCTGGCGGTCAATGATTGGAACTATGTGATGCCTTATAGTTCGTCTCGAAAAACTAACAGCAGCTCAATTGCCCCGAAGTGTAGGATATGGTTCCCCACATCATGACACTCCCATCACCATGGGTGACGCAATTCTGGGTACCACGTCCATTTCGACCTCGATAGATACGTACTCTTCCGTCACGGCACTGATGCAGAAAGCGTGATTCCTCACTGAACCATACACGTCGCCAGTTTTATAGATTCCAGAATTGAACGTAATTGCACTGCTGGACCCGTCGACGTAGTCGTCGCAAAACAGGAAAACAGGGATTTCTGGCTCGAAGTCCATCTTGTCGTAAACGAATACTAATGGTTTGCGCAAACACTCTCCTCACACCAGGCACTGCACTTGCACTTGCAGTTGATGTGACAGTTCGATTCCGCAATTAAAGTACATTGAAGTACCTATGATGCGCTGCAGTGGTAATCCGAGGTCTACCACTTAGAGGTCGATCTTGCGTAGAATTGGTTTGCTGATATCGGTCCCAGAAACGATTGATGGTACTCTGGTGAACATTGAGGTGACGTGCGACGGCAGATTGAGACTCCCCAGCATCCAGACGTCCAATGGCAATGTTTCGATTTACAGCAGTGAGTCGCGACATAACGATATTTAGCTAATGACCCTTTAAAGCCAAAACGCCCTTATATAGGCAATGTCCCCTGCTCACGATTCTTCAGAAGTGCACGTACATATTGCGAACCACTTTTCTCCATGTTATTTTCTTTTAAATTGACACTTTCGAACGCAAACTTGCATTAACGTTTCCGAAGATGCGTTTATGTTCTGTGCATTGGTTTCATGTACACAAATCAGCATTATAATGGCGACATTATAACAAATCAGACACTAAATTTGAATATCAATATCACCTATACGTTTGTTTTGGGGGGGGGAGTATAGTTAAAATGGGTATACCGAGCTAAAATCAATTCGCTATAACCGTAGTATCTACCCACGAACTTGGTCCATAAATGAACGTAAAAACATTCCCATGACCTGATGTGACACATTGACCGGCAAGACTACAGAATACCGGATACCTTCCGCCATCTTTGAAAGCTTATTTTAGAACTGCGCACAAAATGTGCGCAACTGGGATTCATAGTAACGGCGTTTTCTTTATGTTGCATACTCGACATTAGGGTTTATGG